GGATGCCAGCCCATGCACCAGAAGAGTGTGGCACCGAGCCTCTAAGGTGGAGATATCAAAAAATCCCATAGCTGATGAGGAATTGGAGCTGGGAGTGGTAAGGCCTCGGGCGCCAGACGCCGGAACTCCTGCCAACGAAAGCGGGAAAGAGCATCAGCAATCGAGTTATGAATGCCAGGCAGATGTATAGCTGTAAAGGTAAAATTATGGCGAGCCGCAGCGGAAAGTAAGTGGCGCAGCAGCTGCATAATGCATGGGACCTTTGATGTCCTGGACGTGAGAATGTGCACCACTGCCTCGTTGTCCGAGCGGAACAAGACATGGCATCGGTGCCATTGCGGACCCCAGACGTGAGAAGCAACCACCACAGGGAATAGTTCTTTGTACGCGATTGATTGATCGTACTGGGAGGGGGCCCACGCTCCGCTGAACCACTCATTTTTGAAGTAAGCGCCAAATCCCAAGGAGCCAGCAGCATCTGACGTGACCTCCACATCTGTGGAAGCAGACAAACCCGGGAAAAGCCAAAAGCTCACCCCATGCCACGACGTGAGAAAATCAGACCACCACTGGATATCCTTGCGGAACTCCACGCTCAAACGAATAGGATGCTCGCGCGAGCGAAAGCAACAAAGGAGGTCGATCATGCGGCGTAGAAAAGTACGACCAGGCCACACAACTTTGGCGGCGTGGTGAAGGTGGCCGATCAGCGACTCGAGTTGACGTCTGGTACACCACCGCCTGTTCCGCCACGACTGAATCAACTCCTGAAGGGCGGCTAACTTGTCTTCTGGAAGACGAGCCGATTGCTGCACTGAATCTAGTTCAATTCCCAACACGGTCAAACAAGTGAGCGGGCCAACGCACTTGCCAGGGTGGAGGGGAAGGCCAAGTGACCGACAAACTGCCAGGGATGTTTGCAAATTATTAGTGCACTGGTTCGAACAAGCCGGGCCTGCAGTGAGGAAATCATCGAGATAGTGCATAAGGTCGGCCACATTGTACCTATTAATAATGATCCATTCCACCATGTCTGCTATCGAGTTAAAAATATAGGGAGCCGAGCGGAGCCCAAAGGGAAGAGCTAAGTCAACAAAGAATTGGCCCCGCCATTTCATCCCTAACAGGTACCGATCCTCGGGATGCACTGCAACGTTGCGATAAGCGGCCTCGACATCGAACTTTGCCATCATGGCCCCACGACCGTGCTTGGCCACCATGCGGATAATCTGGTCGAGTTTGATGTAATGCATAGAGAATGCGTCAGCGCTGATACCGTCATTTACGCTGTACCCACCCGGGGAGGATAAGTCAACAATAAGCCGCCATTTGCCAGGTTGGCCTTTTTTGGGGATTACCCCGAAACTGCTTATTTGTAAATTCCGAAGGGGAATCGAGGGAAAGGGGCCTGCCACCCGGCATCTGGAAACCTCGTGGGCCAAATAATCGTCAATAACTTTCGGGTTCTGGAATGCCGAGGATTTGTTCCGTTTGGCAGATTTAAGTGTACGAGTAGATTGGAATCCCAGGCGAAACCCGTGCGTGAGGCCTTGCAAAACAAAGGCGACTGCTTGCTGATCTGGGTGCCCAGCCAGGTCCAACGTGAATTGTGCCACATTCAGGGGAGAAACCACCGACACTGGATGGAAAATGGGACCCCCTGATGATAAAATTGCAAAGAAAAGAAACACTTGCAAAATGATGAAAACCCAACCATAGCATTTTATTATCTAACATCCAAGACTGGTACAAATGCAAACAAGAGAGCCTAGCAACGAAGCAGGTGAGCTAAAGGCATGATACCCTGACCCCTGCTAAACGGGGTGTAGGGACAATATAGCCGCACACGAACTGTCAAAAATAACAAAATAGCCTCAAAAGAGACCACATTACGATAACTAATCAACTAAGGCGAAGTGCCACACTAACAAAAACGATAAACAACAAAATCATGAATGTTCACGTGGGAATGAGCGAAGCAACAACACGAGGCGGCACAGCTAAACCGTCAGGACAACTGCAGACTGTACGCACGAATGGCTGCGACACCCGGCAACTAACGAATCCCTCACGTACGGCGAGCTTTGGCACCGGAGGAAGATCCTGGAGAACTTCCGCGACGTTTGCGTTCTTCACGGCTGTCCCGGCTGGAGCGATTGGGGCACGTCGTCGCACGATGGGAGCCAGAACATAAATTGCAGCGATGGGCATAGCGACACGACGCGAAGGGTGCTGTACAGCGCCCCTTGTTCCACGAAATGCAAACGACATTAGAAGACGAAGATCCTGGTGGCTCAGGGTACTCATTAGATTGGGCCAGTGTAGAGTCACGGACGGACGAACCAGCAGCATGGAAATTAAATAATTGCACGTTCATCGACGACCAATCCGTCAAGCGAATGGCGGCGGCATGCTCACGGAATGCTCGGTCGTACGCGAGCCACACTTTGCCCGAGAAATGACGGAATGTGCGGAGGATGAGCAGCTGGTACTGCAATAAGTCCTTCCATCGATGCGGGAAGTGGGTGACCAAAATCATAGCAAAGATGGAAAAGGCTTCCATCCAGGACGCGATGTCCTCGATCTTCCGGCGCTGTTGCTTCGGTTGGGACGTGAGAACAAGGCGCCCGTCGAACAGCACTTGCGGCTCGGTTTCCTTCTGCAGCAAGTTCACGGCCAGTAAATCGCTCAGGTCAACGTACTTGCCCGCCACGATTTGAGCGACCAGCTTCGCCGGCACGGGCGAGAAACCGGGACCAACAACGAACGGCTGGTCCAACAACGAAGCCGATGGACCGACAGAACGGGCGGCGAAATCGCGAATCGCCCCGCTCTGCGAGGAGCAAACGTTCGAGGCGCTAGGAGCGAAAGATGACATGGATGGAAGCGAAAACGTGGACACAAAGGATGGCACAACAAATGATTGGCTTGGCCTACCTTGTACGGGATGTCCGCCGAATCCTGTCCCCGCGGCCAACAGGCTTGATGCAGAATCGGTGAGCGACGGCAAAGCAGCGGGAACGCCTCCCGAACAAGGCGGTGTTGTAGTAATGGCGCTCGCTGCGGACAAAACCGGCTGAGATGTAGTCGAGGCAGTTCCCGAAGATTCCCGCTCGGCTGCGAGAACAGCTTGCACGGTCTGCGTGATCAACGCAACCATTTCTGGCGAAACTCCCGCGATCGCCGGCCCGGCCGGTGGAAGAGACGCTTGAGAAACTTGCGACGAGGGAGGCGAGACGTTTTGACCAGCCGACGAAGACACGTTTGAAACCGAAGCCTCTTCTCCAGATGGAACAGGCAGTAACACCGGAGCGGTTTGCAGGCTATTAGTCGTACCCCGCGAACCCATCGTCAAAAAGGCAAATAAGAGTAAAGCCGCCAAGCACCGTCGAAAAGGCAGAAGTGCACGCGCAAATGAGTTGACCTCAAAACCCGAGCTGTAAAACCACGCGACCCCCTGCAGATCCCCCACCACTGCGCATGACCGAGACCAGGGAAACCCCAGACCAGCATTGTTTCGCGTTTAACTTAGCTTAAATTACATTTAACCACATTTAAATGGCAAACTTTCAAATTCACAGAATAACACTATCAACAACATTAATTTACTGAAAGTTTGGCAGAAAACAGGAAAGGCAAGGCCAATTCACCTAACAAAAAGTTAAATTGAGGCAAGTTACTGCAGTACACTGATGTGCATTGAAGTTTCATATAATCATTCAGTCGAGTTAATTTCTTTTTCAACAAAGATTAAATATGCCAAAATATTTCACACCAATGAAAGGTTTTAAATTAAAGATAACAACACAACAGCAAGCCAAGAATTAAAGTTTGTTTAGGAAAGGAAAACATGCAACTCAAAAAAGTGGCCTCAACTCAGCATCTCAGAAATTAAAAGCATTGGTTGAAATGAGCATTTCATCAAACAACAACTTTGTGTAAACTAATATGAGCTGATCACCCAAAAAACGTTCTAAATTTTTCAAAATTCAAAATTTGGAAGCTAAAAATTATATTTCAGATTTTGTTGGAACTGTGGTTAGGAACTCTGTTCATTTTCTCATGAGTTTTCCCTTGGATAATTGACAGCACTGAGAACTTAATGCACAGAATCATGTTTTTGTATCAAATTTTTCCTCTTATCTACATAGAAGGAAAAGAGATGTAAAACTGACTGCAGGTTTGATCAGACATACAATCTACATTGTGGCTTATACAGCTAACATCAATAGTTTACTGATTGGTTGACTGGCTGACTGACTGACTGACTGACCGACTGACCCACCGACTGACTTGCTGACTGACTGATTGACTGTTTGACTGAAGACAGTCGTGGGCATACTAGCTCATTCATTCTCTCAGTGAAGGACTGACAGGCTGACTCTTTGACTCAATGAATGACTTACCAGGTTACACTTCTCTCTGGGGGCTGAGAAGCTAACTCACTGGTTAGATGATTTAGCACCCACTGGCTGACTGTCTTAGGACTTACTGACCAACTTATTACCCCACAGAAACAGTGACTGATAGATTCTACTGTCTGATGATTGACAAATGGACACTGATTGAATGAGTCAGAGCAGACCTGCTGACTGTCTAGAGGACTTACTGTCAAATTCATTGATTCACTTAATGAATTAAGGGCTGTTCCTGCTGTCCAGGAACAGACAAGCTGACTTACTGGCTGAATGATTTAGAGCAGACTTGCTGACTTTCCTAGGACTTGCCAGCTGATTCATTGACTCACTGAATGGCTTGTAAACTGGTTACCTCTACTGTCTGGGGGCTGACAAGCTGACTTACTGACTGAATGATTTATTGATGACTTAGGACTTCCTGACTGATACACTGACTTACTGAAACACTGATTGGCTGAATGACTTGTCTTAGCTGTATAGTCTTGATAGATTGTATGTCTCCTTCTATTAATTATTTTCATGTCTTTGTTAATTTGTTGTGAACTTTATTGTGAATCTCAAATCTCCCTTGGCTATTCATATCTACATAAACTGCAAGGGAAATGGGCACAAGCTCTTGGTGCAAAGGTCTATGGGATCGTATGGGTGACAAATTTGTTTTGATTGGTCGGTGGTAGCCAAGTTAAACTTAACAAGTGCGCAAAGCAGTCTGGGTAAACGTGCATAATCATCTTTTTTATTTGGTATTCTCTCTGGAAAACCTGTATTTAACACTGGAGTAACACTAAATTCGCTTTCTTCTCATCTCGTTTATTTCCTAAAGGGCGGAACAGTAAGAGTTACGTTAAATTAACCATCTATTTGGTGTACTCAAGGAAATTTTTAAGTTAAAAAAGTAGTCTTATAACTTGGAAACCAATCCGTGACACAATGTTTTGTTTGTTTGTTTACCAAAACAAAGTAAGGCTTTTCCCATTAATGATGGAATCTATGTACTGCTTAGACTGAAAAATGGCACTGAAATCTCTAGTGCCGCGTTGAATAAACCTGACGGTTTGAACGTTTTTAGATCAGTTTACGCGCAGACATTTTTAATTGCTTGGGGAGATTTGAGACTTTTTAGTGTCCAGGGTGATCAACATGTTATTTAACATTTTCATCACTGTGGGAGTAAACGAAGTTCACAGTATCAAGGCAAAAGGTCTTGGATAACGCTTTGTTGTGTAATTTCAGACCGACTTTACTAAATAATTTATTATACCGCAAAATGCGCCACAATTTGTGCGTTATAATTTTTTATATTTTCAATTTGCTGCGTAATCGTAGTCTTGTTTGAAGTTGTTCTTGAGATTGTCGTGCAAGGCGTTTGTCTCTGCGTGACGAGCCCAAGGGCAACTTTAGACAGACAAGATATTTTTCTATCGATCTCGTTTCTAAAAGCACTTATTTGTGGCGTACTTGCGTTTAATTGCAAGCTGTTTGATTAAAATGAGTCTGAATTTTACCACTAAGCTTTACCAAGAGTTTTTCAAAAGCAGAATTTAGCTCGCTCTTGATTTAAACCAGGTAGTACTTAAATGTGCAAAGTACGAGTGTTGGTGCGAGCTTCAGAAAGACCTTTAAATATTGTTGCTTATAAGCAAAGTTATAAGAATTTGCGAGCGCGAACGGTCTCTTTATTGACTTGCCAAGTCCTCTTACACGCGCGAGTATTTTCAGTTTCGCTGCTTTGGAAGGTTATGTCTCTCCAAAGTTCGCATCGACATTTGTACTTTGTTGAAGTACTTGTGGTTTTGTCATACGTAAAGGATCGGACACAATAAAATATTGTGCGCAGTATAATTACGTCGTTTTTCGGCGCTGGGATTGTTGCGTACAATGTGTGAAGAAAAACAATTATTTCTTAAATTCAACCTATCGTTTACAACATTTTATGCAACAATCGCTTGGATGGAAAACGGTGTAAGTTAAAGACGAGTATGTACTAGCGACATAAACACAAGCAAAACTGGTAGACAACAACTGAGTGCGGTGAGATCATGAACAACATAAGCAGAAGCAGAAACATAGGAAGAAGGAACACACTCATTCTATTCTTGTTCTTGTCACTAATTCACGCAATTTAAGGACAAACACAAGAAAAATAAAGCGAACTCGTTTGCTTTTCCTCTACTTGTTCTTTAAATGCGTTAATTACTGGTGAGAATAGAAAGAATGAGTGCGTACTTTCTGCTGTGTTTGTGTTTATACTTATGTTGTAAAGTCCGCGCTTAATAAAACTTGTGCTTGTGTTTATGTCGCTGGTGTAAACAAGTCTTTACTGCGCGCAATGTTTTACTGTGTTCGTGCCTTTAGGGTTTCTTTTTCTGGTTCACTCAAGTAGTTGGATTACAAAGTAAACAGCACGGGTACTCAAGATAACAGTACTTTAATGAAGCAATAAAACTTGTCTCTGTTGTCCATTTATTTATAATAAAAAAATATTTAAAAAAAAAGTAATCTAGCCTCCCTCGCCCCTGCCGGGCTGCTTCCACGCTGCTCCGAGTCGGTGTTCATTCTTCTGTCCTCATTTAATATTCCAACTTTAAAATCCTGGTCTGTTTTATCTGATCCCTTCATTCAAGCTGGGGGTAGTTTGACACTTAGGAAATTCAGCCGTTTGTTCCCAAGTGGGGTGGGCAGCGTGAAGGAAAGTGAGAGTTTGCTCCTTATGTCCTCAGGGTCTCATTCAACTTTGTCACAATACCACACCAATTAATTTAGAATTAAAATTTTGTTGCCAATAAAATTTGTGCTGAAAAGTTAAATTTTGATTGAAGTTGCGTGTCTACAAATTCAACATATCGTAAATATCCAAGAGCCGTAGATGAGAAAAAAAAGGGCCCTACCAGAGTGAAACTCAGTACTAAGTGCGTTTCCGTCGGCAAACGAAGGCAAGAATTAAACACTGAATCCCGCTTAGTCTGACCGGACCTTCATTCCTCAAACTTCATCAAAGAGCACAAGTCAATAATAATCCCTCCTCTGAGAGCTTCTGATGCTGGATTTCTTTTGCCCTATTTAATGTTTATTTAGTGTTTATACCTTAATCAAAAGCAATTTGGTTGTGTCCTTATTTTTATGTTATTAGTGCAGGAGCCTATTAGTGTCATTCTAAACTTTCCAGATTTCTGAAGGCAATTAATTAAAACATTTTGAAGCAAAATTTACGCGTTACTGGTTCAGTGCCGCATAAATTGTGCTCCAAAATGTTTTGATTAATTAAAAATTAACCTGCTCTTATGATTAAAGGCTGCCGTTATTTATAATCCGCGCCACTTCGGGTTTCGAAAAGTTATTTTTTTCATAGGAAAATTATCGCGAGAGAATTGTAAACCTCGGCTTTATTTAATCTCGAATTTAATGTAGCCTGCTGTGATGTTTTCCTCCATAATTATTTGATTACCCAAAGATTCAGTGCCGCAAAAATTGCGCTTCTAGAAGTTTTGTTTACTTTACAATAAATCTTCCCTAACGATCTAAAATTGCGCTTATTTAACATCAGTCAGTTATAGAAAAAAAGGTTCAATTTTTCTTACGGAAAATTAGCTTGAGAGAATTGCAAACCTAATTTAAAGTTAATGTCTCCTGGAAAAGATTGGCTTCGATGTTAGATCTTAATTTATGCAGCTTGCCGTGATGTTTTCCTGCATAATAATTAATTATCCCAATCCAAAGTTCCCTCGAGATTTTTAGCTTTAGTCACGATGGTCACGCCAGCCGACTTCAACAGCCTTGCATGACGACCGTGACAACAGTTCTTTAAAAAGCGTGGAGACACCGAAGCAGCTGCATAAAATCAAATGGTCGTGACTGAAATGGACACTTCAAATCGGAATTCCGATATAGGACTGGGGGTGGCCAAATATATTTTAAAAGACTAAAACTACAATTATATGAAATACTTGGTTTTAGTCCTATACCGGAAACCCAATTTTGAAAATATCAATTGAAGTCACCACCAAGAAAATCTCCAAAAGTAAGAGTTAAGACTATCAATGTCTAAGATGCTGTGTTTATAAAACGATCCGAAACTGAAATATTTAGGCTAAATTGCCTGATTTATCACACAATCCGTAGAAATCTACTCTATGTGCCTCCTAACAAGAAGAAAATAGAGCAGACTACCACGGCTGTCTGATTAATCACGCTTATTGAAAAGTCGTTAATGTTTTTCCCTAATGGTTTAACACCTAAGAATTTCGATTTTTATCAAAGGAAATTTTTTCGACGAACATCAACACCCACGTTTTTTTTACTTGTTGTTTTTAGTTGCCAAAAAACAACAGGCAAAAAAGTAGATGTGGACGCAGCCTAACTTAAGTTTTGATGATTTTGAAAAAGTTAAAGAAAAGAAGTCAGACCTATGTATGAGCGATGTTTTGGTTATGTGGTTTAGTGATTCAAAAACCTACAAGGGTATATTGCATTTTTTTGGAAAAAGAAAAAAAATTAGGAACAAAAGAGGTTTTTATGCAACATATATTTTTTGCGATGTTTTGGAAAGCTACCTATATATGCTACGCGAGATTTAGGTTTAGAAGAGAAATCCATAACCAGTTACCCTCATTGGAGAGATTCTTAGAGACTATCAGCTCAATTTGATGCAATTTGTGAAAATTCAGGTAAGTCAAACCAGTGCAATTTAGTGCCCAATTCTTGCCAACGAATCCTCCTTCCACACACCTTTCCTTAAGCCGGGGAGCACAATGCTAGCACCCCCGTAAATCACATCCAAGACAGATGAACATTCCCAGACATATTGTTTGCAGACAAGCTCCTTCCTAGGTCGAATTGTGTTTTTATTTGGAAAAACGTGTGGTATCATAACAAAATGAATGAAACCCTAAAAACATGAGAAGCAAACTCTCACCTTCCTTCACGTTGTCCTCCCCACTTGGGAACAAACGGCCAAATCTTCCAAGTGCCAAACTGCCCCCAGCAAGAATTACAGAATCAGATAAAGTTTCTCAGGATTTCTCCGTTGGAATATCTCAGAGGACATCAGAAACACACCTTCTCAGAGACAGAGCTTCCACAGCCCAGCAGGGGCGAGGTTGGCTAGATTAAACATGACCTTTCCCAAGTGATGGGCTCCTAATCTTGTGTGTGTGCCACCTGAGATCTGAAATTAAATAATAAGCTAAAATTTTAAGTAGAAAATGCAAGCCCATTAGCACTTTAAAACGTAATAGCCTTGAATTACTTGGTGTTACAAAAAATTCCGAAAAAAGCAATAACCCTACTTTATTTCTAGTTATTTTATAGCGGCACATTACTATCTGTAAATAGCAACATGGTAGCTTGCTAAAGAGCAAAAACCTAGAGTGAAAAAAACAAAAAGAAAAGAAAACAAGCGAACCTGAAATTTAAGCAGGAACTTTTATAGCACCAAGAAATACAGACGTGCATAATTATGAAATAATAATCTTAACATAATGAAACAAAATGTGATGGTAACCAATGGTCTGGAGTCTCTTAAATATGCTGTCTAGAATACGCTGCTAGGATAGCTGAAAGCTTAATTCTGAACACTCTTTGTGTTCTCCAATGGAAAAAAAAACAACAATGTAAGCACTAATTGTGTAGGTTGTGGAATCAGCCCTAATTTTTGTTTCTAGAATTGAAGTAAAATGAAAGTTTGTGATTTATAAACAGACCAGTGATCACCTTTAACAGTAAAGATACTAAGGCAGTGATTTGATAAACCTAACCTGAATAGCAACACTGAGTTGATATCCAGCGCTTTGTGTCACTATACGTTAACCTTACTTGCAAAATTATTTTTCTACTTTTTTTGTTGTTGTTGTTTGGTACCTTTTGGATGGTAAACATTTAGTTAGCAACAAGAATTTATGCTTTGTAATATGCCAAAAAATTCGATTTGAGATCTAAAAAATTGCTTTTTAGATGCCAATACAGAAACACTTTGTCTCTAGCTATGAGAGATTTATGCTATTGAAGGTTTTAATTAATTCCAGTTGATTCCTGGTTAAAGCTAGGTCTTAAGTGTGCTAATGGGCTTGTTGTTTCTTTGTTTAAATAAATAATAATATTATTATTATATTATAAGCAAAGGAAGTCTTATTACCAATCATTCTCTCACCTACCTGTTACAATTTTGAAGGAAAAAAATTGAAAGTTTAAAATGATTCCCCGTTAAATTCATTCCAAGTTACTTGCAAGCCAAAATCTCATCATAATACAAGAACTGTGACATTAACTATTCTTTTGAATTTCGGTACCAAATGTTGAGATTTAGTTCCCCTAGCAATATCATTTACCCCAGAGAGCACAAAAATCATCTCATAATTAATTTTAATCAAATTTTTATGTCAGTTCAGTTTTTAATTGCTTCCTTTGCTTATAAATCAGGAACAACACATAGCTACCGAGATCAAGCTACCTAACTGTGGAAAAACCCAAATCTGAATCATATTTTTCCCAACTTGCTTGTCTTTTAAAATAAAAAAAGTTGCTCTTGATGTAAGAAGAGCAGTAGATACCAGTACTTCTGCAAAATTTTGGCAGCAACGTGTTGATTTCCATATACTGGTACTATCAGTGATTATTGCTAAACATGCAATCAAATTAATGACCAAAGCATCTGTTCCTACCTTGCATGCCCAGTAATGTTAAATAAGATTCCAAAGAGCAGTTAAAAACACCAGGTTACCAGTTTTCAGTTACAATATTGAATTCAATTAAAGTACAGGTACTCTAATTCAAATGAATACTGACTGAGATGCTTTGAACAAGACTCTTTAATAATTTATTAATTGCTGGAAATAAATCAAATTGACCAATATTCTATGAAAAAATTGAAATTTGCATTGAAAAAATGGTAACCTCAATGTGACGAAGGAAGGTAGTTATTGTAGACTATGAACAGATTGAAATCTATGATTGTCCAGCAAGTATCCTGGAATCCTTTGCTCTGTTTCAGACCAGAATTTGTGATTTTTCCTACCCTATATCAGATCTGAACTCCAGTCCTTAAGAGTTGAATGATAAAATAACATATCCTATTCAAGGCCCTGGTTCCATACAGCACAAAATCTTACTATCTCATACAGAAACAAATCCTGTCCATATTTAGTAAAATCCAACCAGTGATCTATTATCAACGCTGTGTTCTGATTGATTGAGCTACTACTAGGCTATGCGTTATAGCCAACTGATACCAAAAAGTGCCGGCTTTGAAAACTAAAACAATGGTGGCTGAATCACATTTTGCTAGTTGTTTTGTCTCGATCTTTATGACCGAGTAGTTGGATTTTACTAAAACAATTATTCCTCTCTCACCCTCATGGCCTCTGAGTCAATAGCCCATTCAGCCTTCGGCCTCATGGGCTATTGACTAAGAGCACACTTGGGCTCGAGGAATAATTGTTAAAAAGCTTATGTAAGAGAATACCCTGCCCCCTCCCAAAGACCCAGACCCTCCGAATGAGATTTCCAGGGAAAAAAAGATATTTCAGAAATTAAACCTTGTGTATTAAACACAAGCCATTGCCTGACCTATCACAGTCAAACCAGGAAAACCGTGAACACCAGAAATATTTCTCGAATGTTATTGTGGTGCAAGAAAAAAGCTAATCAGGCATGAGAAAAGTGAACCGCAAGCAAGAACATTGATTAGTTTGTGGTTTTGTGGCTTTCTTGCATGCACTAATCTTTTCGGTGATTGGTCGTAACACTATAAACATTCTTGAAATATTTCAACTGTTCACAGTTTTCCCAGTCGCACTGTAAATTTATCACTAACAGATCAACTTGGGAACTGGTGCCTAGATAACTGGTGGTAGGAACCTTAATTTAGCTATCAAGGAAGGTACAAGGAGGTAACCATAGTAACCTGAAGGCAGCAACCTTAAAAGTGGACAGACAATGATGTTGTCACACTAATTCAATGGTCAAAATAATGAAACAAAACCTGTGCTTCAAATAAGACCTAAACCTTCTTTTACCTAAAGAATGTTTGACTCCCACACCTGAGAAAAGCGGCAAAACTGTTGTCTGTTTTCTTTGGCTAACAAAAACACTGCTCAATGGAATCTTGTAGTAGAAGCTTTAGACATATGTAATAGAATGGTTCAACAAACAAGTGCCTGGGAAAGAATTGCAAATTAAAGAACAAAACTCTTCAATTTATATGCCGATAAATATCATTTCCCAATGGCCTCTGTTTGTCCAATGGTGGCACACACATTATTCTTAGTTAGCACTGATGAATTAGTAAAAAATTATTTCAGTTTGTTGCACGACTGAAAAAAGTAACTAGATGAATATAAAAACAAAATAATATAACAGACTTTCAAACATTTCACCTGCCCTCATTAAGAGACTGGTGAAAATTAATTTTCCCTGAGAAAAGCCAAACATTTAATTTTTGGAAATCTCAGACTATCTTCTAGAACCCCTTAAAATGCTTAAAATATATTTCTGAAGGCTTCCAATGTTTCCTGAAAAATATTTCCAAGAACCCAGAAGACTTAGATAACGTGAAAAGGTGTGAATCTAAAAACATTTAACAGACGTGCACTGCCGGACATCTCTATATGGATTTTTTTTCAGTCATACAACAATATTGGTTAATTAAATGATTGTTGTGTATTTTTGTGATAAATATTAAACCGGTACTGTTGTGCTTAAGAATCTGTTAAGTGAATGGGGGTTGTGGAACAACAGCTGGGTGAAAAACCTCCCCGTACGTCCACTTGCTCCTAGGAGGAAAACCCCAGGCCAGCTGTACCCCGCATTCAGGCCTCCCGGGCAGGGCCAGAAATTTTGAATAATTCTTATTGTCATTTTATCGTGCTATTATTTCAGCTATTATTCTTGAAAGAGTAAGATGATATTAAACTAAGATTTAAAAATATATACCATTTCTAATCAATTAAGATATTCTGCAATACAAACCAGGTGTTGCAAGACTCTTCACAATCCATAGCCCAACTCTTGCAGTAGGTGACCATGATGTCTGTTATTCCTTGCCCTTGTAGTCCATCCTCTCCATTATTCATTTAATGAGGTTCTTGTACTGGGTGCAGGTGATGTCATCCAGCCAGCTGTGTAGGTTGCCTTATTGCCTATCCTCTCCATAATTCAGATGCCTTGTACATCATCTGGCCAGTTGATATGTTTCTCTCTAGTGTCCATCACCACTGTGTGCCCAGCCATTAATGCCAACTTCCCTCAGTCTACCACTCCTGTAGTCTCTTCCTGTTGGACAGGAAAAATAATTCAATTTACTTGTACACTTACATTTACATGAACATTAATAACAAGTGCTTCTAATAAAAAATGGATTCTACGTCATATAGGCAAAAGAAAGGTAGTGAGGAATGGGATAATCACTAATTATTGGATAATAGATATTAGTAAAATCCAACTAGTGGTCTATTATCAATGCTGCATTCTGATTGGTTGAGTTACTACCAGGCTATATGTTATAACCCACTAGTAGCGAAAAGCGTGGGCTTTTTGGCGGCAAAAAAAGATAAAAGTCTAGCTTTAACTAGCTAAAGTTTTTTTTTATTCTCGATATTTTTGACCATCTAGTTGGATTTTACTAAAACAATTTTCCTCTCACCCTCATGGCCTCTGAGTCAATAGCCTATTCAGCCTTCAGCCTCATGGACTATTGACTCAGACCCCATTCAGGCTCAAGGAATAATTGTTAAAGAGTAGAGAGCCGGCATTTGAAGAAAAATAAAACAATGGCAACTTCTATAACAAACTCTTTTGTTATATTTCTGAGGAAGAAGTAGATAAACTAAAATAAGTTGCAGACTGCATGATTGTTTGATTGATTAACTGACTGGAACTGTTTGAATGGTTGATTGACTGACAGACTAGCTGTTTCATTCATAAATTAACTGGCTAAAACTTTGAATGGTTGGTACATGACAGACTGGCTGGCTCATTGATTATTGACTGAAAGATTGACTATTTGCTTAACTAACTGACTGGCCAAATATTTGAATGGTCGGTAGACTGACTGAGTAACTTATAGCAGTTTGCAAAATTGGTATTTAAATAGTCTAAGAGAACTTGTTTTCTAACTAGATCATCAAACATTATTTCCAGGCCTAGTTTACAAAAAGGAGATTTTAAATTTTCGAATAAAATCATAAGTTAACCCCTTTTAAAAAATCCAAAATGGTGACTATGTTAAACTGATGTTTTTACACTTTAGGAGAGCTTGTTTTCTAACTTAAAGATCATTGAACATTACTTCTAGGCCTAATTTTGCATACAAAACATACAAAAGGGAAATTTCAAATTTTTGAGCAAAATTGTGGGTTAACCCCTTCAAAACAATCCAATTATAATATTATGGCAACTATGTAAAATTAATATTTTTATAGTCCAAGAGGGCTTATTTTTAAACTAGAGGATCACCAAACATTATTTCTTGGTCTATTTTGCTCAAAAAACATTCAAGGCGGAAATTTCAAATTTTTGACCAAACTCGTGGGTAAACCCTTATAAGAAAATCCACCCTAGCAACTATGTTAAATTGCTTTTTATAGTCGAGGAGGGCTTGTTTTCTAAAAAAAATCATCAAACATTATTAATTTTCTTGGTCTATTTTGCTCAAAAAACATTCAAGACGGAAATTTCAAATTTTTGACCAGACTCGTGGGTTAACCCTTATAAGAAAAACCAACATAGCGACTATGTTAAATACCTTTTTTTATAGTCTAGGAGGGCTTGTTTTCTAAAAAAAGATCATCAAACATTATTTCTTGGTCTATTTTGCTTGAAAAACATTCAAGATGGAAATTTCAAATTTTTGACCAAAATCGTGGGTTAACCCCTATAAGAAAACCAAACATAGCAACTATGTTAAATTGCTTTTTTATAGTCTAGGATTGCTTGTTTTCTAAAAAAAAGATCATCAAACATTATTTCTTGGCCAGTTTTGCTCAAAAACATACAAAGGAGAAATTTCATTTTCTTTTTCACCAAACTCATGGGTTAATCCCTTTAAAAAAGATAAACTAGCAACACTATTAAAATCACTATTTTTTATAGTCAAGGAGGTCTTTTCCATTATCTAAAAGATCATCAAACATTATCCCTAGGACGATTTTGCTCAAACACAAACAAACAGAAGTTCCAAATTTTTTCAACCAAAATCATGGCTCAACCCCTTTGAAAATTCTAATATGGTGACTACGTAAAATCAATATTTTAGTCGTCTAGGAGGGCTTGTTTTCTTCCTTGCCTATTTTTCTGCTGTGTTGAGTCCTGAGAAAAATTTATGAAAGAGCCTGAGTCAGGAATGCCAGTTCAAAAACTAATGAGTCCTACATCAAAAACAGTTACAAGCCTTCATGTAACTACGAAGAAATTGAAAAAATCTACAATTTTTGTCAATAACAGAGACTGCTACCTACAATCAGGGACAAAAGTAGTTGACACACTTGTTTAAAACGGGTGCTTTTAACAAACATTTAATTCATTTATTATTTCATTCCTTTTAAACGCCGTAAATCCCCCGACCCCCCGAATCAATGTTGTCTGAAGTAAAAAAAAGACTTGAGGGTCCAAAATTCAACATTGATTTTGGGGGGAAGGGGTTGGGGTAGACAGGGGAAGGGGATAAGTATATCCACTATGCAAAAAGGGGCCATTTTTCGGAAGTGTGTCAACACTTTTGTCCCTCATTGTCTGAATGCAAAATTGTGCTACTGCACACAAGTTGAGCCGTGTATGACACTGATTTTAACTGAAATTAAAGGAATCTATGACATAATTATGTTATTGGTGGTGGGGGTGACATTGACTTATTCACGACCGAATTATAGGGCCAATTCGAATTAAGTGATGACGTTGTAAAAGGGCTGCGATATCCAGAATAAACGTCGATATGGTTTACATGCTAAAAACTGACGCTGAAACTCGCACACATGTACAACTTTTGATGAATTTCAAGGGTATGCGTACTGAAAATATTTTTAATAAAGTGAACATTTCTCGTTCTTCACTTTATCCGATTGTTAAGGCGCAAACAATCACGGGGAGGGTAAGGATTGACACGTAGTGGAGATAGTCACTGGCCAGTCACGGAAATATGGAACGTTAGTGAGGAGCCGCCGTCACTGCGTTCAATATCGAAACTACGGAAAAGTGAGGGTAAATTCATGGTCAATTCAATAAAAAACTAAGGACTGCGTAGCAAACATTGCAAGTGTACACGAAAACAATTACTTTCAATCCCACCTCGTAACACCCTGTGTGACATGATAACGCAACGTAAATAGCGTGACATGAGCGCATATGTCTGTGTATTTGGACTGCATTTCTCAAGCGAAACCCTGTGTTGTTGTCTATTGTCGGGAGAGAAAATGAAAAGAGAGCTTTGAAACGTGAACTGGTGATTGACTCTCAAAGAAAACGACAGCTCAAACTGAGAAAAACACTGCTTCCTTCGTGTTACAACGGTTAACCAAGTTTCGGCAAACGGAAAGTAACATAGTAAGTCTGTTATGACCTCTTAATGTCGATATGTATTCTCGTGGTTAACCGTTGAAACTCCTTATTTGCACCACATCGCTGGAATTTTTCTCGCCAAGAATACGTATTGCGCAGTACTTTCTACATAGCGGAATCTTCTTTTGCCTTTTGTGAGGAATTAGCGCATAAAAAAGGAAGATTTTCCAGAGCACGGCCGTCATCGATCACGTGTTATCCCGCTTTCCTTGTCATCAAGTGAACTTCTGGGCCAAAGTAATTGCTGTTTTGGAGATGATACAAACCGGTGTGTCTATCTTGAAAACAATTTCTTTGGTATTCTGTGATTTACGAGCTGGGAAATGAAATAGTTGTCCACCCAACACCAATAAAAAAAATGCCACTGAATAAATGGCAGGCGGTCATCTAAAATCATTACAAAAGTACATTCCTAACCTGGTCTAACCTGTTCGACGCCTACACACGCTAAAGGTTTGGATCTGCTAGATTTGAAAAGGTCTTCCAAAAAAAAAAAACATCTATTTATAGGGCATAGCACAAACGACTGGCTCATCATTTATGAGGTTCATAACCTGTATATTGTTCACGTCCTTTCACTAATGGCACAAGTCAATGTCAACAATACTGCATGTTGCAGTACTTCATTCGCTTAAGTTAACCATTTACCAGAACAATTTTCATTGTACCTTAGTGTTTCCATCCTTTTTCCACTATTGATAATACTTGTAAAAAAAATTACATCCGCAGCAGCGGCATTGATCACAACACAAATGATTTCCTCTCGACCCGACAGGGTATCAGGAACGCGCGCGGGAGTACAAGATTAAGTAATGACATACGCTTCGTACATTTTACTCTACGTATACTACAAATCAGGACCAAACTTTTCAAATTGTTGTTTATAAACAAACAATTTGGTCCATAGAGTAACATCATCGCACAAAAATTCAGCAGCGTCCAAAATCTAGCCGGAAAACACAGATACATATTTCAGACAATCAGGGACAAAAGTAGTTGACACACTTGTTTAAAACGGGTGCTTTTAACAAACATTTAATTCATTTATTATTTCATTCCTTTTAAACGCCGTAAATCCCCCGACCCCCCGAATCAATGTTGTCTGAAGTAAAAAAAAGACTTGAGGGTCCAAAATTCAACATTGATTTTGGGGGGAAGGGGTTGGGGTAGACAGGGGAAGGGGATAAGTATATCCACTATGCAAAAAGGGGCCATTTTTCGGAAGTGTGTCAACACTTTTGTCCCTCATTGTAGATAGCTCAGCTGGATAAGCACTTGTTTTGGAGTTTTTTCTACGTTTTCATTGACAATTGATCTTTTCTTGTTTTGCTCAAAATTTGCATGTAAGCCACCTCATTCCCACAGAAGTGAAAATGGTAATTCTTCATGAGACAAACTATAGCTCTTTACACAGAAATCTCATTTTGGTTTGGAAGTTTAAATGATGCTATTGAAACTACATAGGGATTTAGATCAGATGGTGCTTGGAACATTTCTTTTTGCGCACAATTTGCATACTAGC